TGTAATAACTACTTTATTCAAAATAAATAGTACAATGAACAAATCTGATAGGTTACTTTGTATGTTGGTTCTCACATGTGTTAGTTTAGGGGATATAATCAGAGGGAGGTGGTAAGATTCTTCATCATTTCAATCCCTGAGCCGAAGACACACTTCTGCTCTCTTCCTGAAGGTGCTACTCTGTGTGTCATCTGCCAAGACCGAAGTTCCTTACGCCAAACGATTGTGCGCTTAGAGCTAGAGGACGAGTGGCAGTTCCGCCTCCGGGACGAGTTTCAAACTGCTAACAGCGCCGATGACAAGCCCCTCTACTTTCTTACCGGACGTCACGTATGAGCTTTGGAAGAGACCAAAACCAGCAAAGGATGCCTAGGTGGGGTGGGGTAGTAACGATTAAGGATGTTTTTTTTCCTTTAAAGTACAATCACTGTGGAGCCAAGTGCAACATATTTGTCTCTTCTCCAAAGAACCCCCCAAATCTGACCTAGATCCTTGGGGGGCATCACGCTCCTTCAGTTCCAATTTCAGGACTTAAATTCAGGTTAACTCCACCCGAGGTAGTTATGCAATTACTTAAGACGTGGTCTGCCCACGGGAGGCTGAGGAGGATTACGCTTTGGAGAGGCCACAGGGAGTCTGCATTGTTTTTTTACTATGCTGTGTCGGGGGGCGGGGGGGGGGGAACTGACTCTCAGCATTAGCTAGCCTGAATGTGTTACGTGAGACTCACACCGTTGGTGTGGAATTAATTGAAGATTAACGTTTGAGGCCTGAACCCTCAGTTTCTCTTCAGATCTGTACTTTGGTACAGTATTACTCAGGGGTCTGAAACGATAGAATGTAGAAGATATTTGTATTTAAAAAAAAGAAGTAGCTTTGTCTTTCTCTGTGCAGTGTTAGTCTAAGATTTATAATCTTGTATGTATTGAAACTTTTGGCAAAATTTCCACAGGAGTTAAAAGTTTACTATTTAAACTGAACAAACAAATTAGTAAATGCAGAGCAGGCATTGTGTGTATTCATGCAGCTTCTCCTGGCTTAAGTTCTTTTGCTTTATCCATTCTTTGTTTTCAGTCTCTTAAGCACGCCTGTGAGAATATGAACAGTGATTAATCTTACACACGGAGAGCCTGATTCAGTAGTTGAGCCAATTCAGAAGCTTTCAGCAGTCACCCCACACCCACCCTGTTTGGTTGGAATTTAGCAGTTGGCACCAGCAAAGCTAAATGTCAGGCAGGCTTAGCTTCTGTGTGAAGTGGAACTAGTTTCTTTCCTCTCAAAGACTAAAGCAAAGTTTCCTTTAAAAGATACACTGAATGAATATTAGCTGCCTTATACTGACAACACCACAGAAATTGCTGAAATGGGAAACAGAGCCGTAGAAAGAGAGGCTGTTTTACTTAATCCTACCAGTGGGGTGTGCGTGTGTTAAAGAAGATGCCAGTAAGTCTCTTTGACTCATTAAAATCAACAGGGGGTCTCTGTTCAGTATCAACAGTAGGAGGCATAAGTTTCTACAGATTTTTTACCACATATTTTAATCAAAAACAGATTTTTAGAAAATGTTCTAGAACAAACTAGGTCTTTTGGAAGCTTACTCTTAAATTACTCCACTTCTCATCATTAAACAATCTCTTGACATTTTTCTCATTAGCCCGTATGTACCACTTTATTCCCACTTTAAATGGCCATTTTAAACTTGAATCGATGTCATATTTATGGCCTGAAGCCTGCATTTACTTAGAACAAATAGTGTTAACTGACCAGCTTTATTAGTTTGTGATAACAAGTTTACAGCTAGTGAAGAGATGGCATGTACTAATCTGAAAATGGTTTCAGATCTCTTGGTTTTAATATAGCTACTTATGATGCTTTAAATGTCTCTTGAAATGAACAATTCCTTTAAACTCCATTTTTAACTGACCTTGAAAGAGGACCTGCCTTATAGATGCTTTAAAAATACTCAATTTTAGTACAGCAGAGTTTTTGGCAAAGAGGTACATTCTGAGGCAGGCTGATTTAGATATCAGTGTATTTCAGTTGTTCCTGTTTTGTTGAAAGGGCCTAACGCAGACGATATCAAGAAACCAACTATTTGTGCAATATTCCAAAAATATTTATAGGGCAAATAAAATACTTGAAATAATCCTAAAACAGTTGTACCTGGAGCAGATGGCCTCTCAGGGTTTCTTCAGGCTTTATGGCTTCATAGTCTAAGGAAAGGAAAATTTTTTAAAGTAGTTACTTGACCTGAGGGGACCCCATATTAGTTAGGGCTGCACTCTGAAAAACCAAATGCTTATGATCCCTGAAATACTGTTTAACTCTGGGGAAGAGAAATGCCAGAATAAAGCCAAAAGCCCATCACCCCAGTGATGGAGAATTCAAATTGACCTGCTTATTCTTTTCAATGCCTATCTTACTACGGTTTGGATCTTTTAAAATCACCTTATCAGTATAATTCTTTAGAGGATGTCAGGTCGCTCTCCTGCAAGGATAAAATTGCACAAGCACAGGACACCATGACTGGTTGATACGTACCTTGGTGTGTTCCACTTCGAGCCTTGCCATCCCTTAAGAATATTGTGTGAATGTGTTCACTAGGCCTGCATAATAACTGACCTATAGACCTGTTGAACCTTGCCACATATTGACAGTTCACACAGGTTAATACTGAATGTAAACTAAAATTACAATGAGAATTGTTGTATTCAATTTTTTTGGCTGTAATTTATGCAAATGCTTTTTGTGATTTTTAGAAAAGGAGGCACCTGTGTTACTTTATTACTGTAAAATTTTCTTAACCAAAATTTGGTGAATTTCACTAGTCAGTCTACCTCACATTTTGTTTGTGATTCTAAATTGTCTTAAGTTGTGTCTACAGTATGTTCTTGTCCTTTAATTTGGTGAATGTATTAAAATTCTCTCCCACCCCCCCAAAGAGAAAGTTTGTTTTCTTTACATGTTCTGGTATGTTCAAAAATGGAATAAGCTGACTACGGCAATGTCCAAGAAAGGCTAGAAGTCCACATGTCATAGGTTGGATGACTATAAGATATTCTTCTGGCATAACAGTCCAAAAAAGTAAATATTTGTTCACTGAAAATCTGTAGCTTATCCAAAGAAGATACACACGTATAAGGTATCTACCATGCCCATTTGCAGAGTGCCACAATTATGAATAACAGATCCAGAAATGATTATTAAAGAGACGTTAGAAATATTCATGGTACATCCCCAATCTTTTATTTTACAGATGGCAACTATACTCACTTTCGTGTCCTGAGAAGCACACTTTGGGTTGGTAGAACTGTGCAGTATAACCCTAAGGTGTTATTTCACCAACTTTTGAGAGTTAACTTGTTATTCCAGGGGAAAAGAAATGCCTTTCAGTTCTATTATTAGCAAGAGTGCTAAAATAATAGACTGATATAGAACCATAAAAGCATTCTTCAGGGCCAGAGGCCCCTGGCTGTTACCTCAGGAGGGGCAATAACTATTTTAAGTATGATGACAGATTCAGGATAAAGGCTCCAAAGCAGCTGCCTTAGAAAGACTAACAGCTGTGAAACTCTGACTGCTGTACCTTTGTATTCAACTACTAGAGCTGAACAACATCAGGGAACAAACATTCCTCAGGCTTGTCTTCAGTCATGGCAACTGGCCCATAAGCTTCCTCTGAGTCTAAGAGAATACTGATAAAACAATCAAATACTGGCTTCCCTGAAAAAAACAAAAACCCAAAAAAAGAAACAAAAACATCGTCACTAAAGATGACTTCAGGAAGAACTTCTGAGGCCAAGGAAACAGCCATTCAAACTATAAATTCCTTATGTCTTAACTTTCAAGTAGTAAGCTAAGGAAAGCATCTACGGTTGACCCTTCAACAACACAGGCTTGAACTGCATGGGTCTACTTATACACAAATTTTTTCCAAAAAAATACGTACTATGATACCACACAATCAATGGTTGGCTAAGTCTACAGATGCAAACCGCTGATATGAAGAGCCGACTGTAAAGTTATACCTGATTTTCAACTGTGTGGGGTAACCCCCATGTTGTTCAAGGGTCAACTGTGCTTCAGTGATTATTGATGGCAGGTGGAATAATAAGAAATAAAAAAAAGTTCTCTAACCACTTCTTTGTTGTTATAAGACCGAATCTTCCCTTTATCTGCCAGAAGGCCCAAGAGCCATGAGAACAGGTAGAAGGTATATGTATGCCTGCAGTCGCTATCCCAGAAATCAATTCAGCCATCTTAACTGCCGATGAACTACAGCTAGGCAGGAATGTGGCCGTGTTCCTACCCAGACGCCCTAGCTGGGCAGCCATGCAAAGTAAGCAACAATTAAAATATCACTGCATGTGGGGCTTCCTTGGTGGCGCAGTGGTTGAGAATCTGCCTGCTAATGCAGGGGATGGGTTCGAGCCCTGGTCTGGGAAGATCCCACATGCCGCGGAGCAACTGGGCCCGTGAGCCACAACTACTGAGCCTGCGCGTCTGGAGCCTGTGCTCCACAAAAAGAGAGGCCACGATAGTGAGAGGCCCGCGCACCGCGATGAAGAGTGGCCCCCGCTTGCCACAACGTTTCTTGTCACAGAAACGAAGACCCAACGCAGCCAAAAATAAAATAATTTAAAAAAAAGTTTAAAATATCACTGCATGTCTACTGTACTTACTGTTCTTACGATACATGCTTTTAGTAGATATACCAAATGCACTCTTGCATGTTATGAACTGGTAAAATACTGATTTTTACAATGCTTACAAAATGAAATAAAACCATTGTATGTCCATGCAGACAAGGGCATAACCCCTAAGAGCTCACGGTTCCTGTCTACACTGGTGGTTCCTATAATGTCCATACACTAGACATTTTTATAATGGACCAACAACTATTCAAGGGTAGCTGAGAAAAAATTTACAGGCGCCTTTATATAATCAGCAATTACAGAATCAACCTGTTTCGATGTCTGTGGCCATTAGTGTTTACTCACTGTGTCCACCAGTGCCTCCACCACTCCATAGAGACCGTTCTTCTATCATCACTCTTCAGCCTTCAACTGTGGTGTGACAGTGTCGACCGTTCTTTGAGTCTTGGTTTCTACCACTCTCTTATGGTTCTTCCCTTGCACGTGCATTCTCAAGTGTTCCTCAATACTCTCTCCTACCCTCTCAGTTCATAAACCTCAGGGTGGCGATCTCTTCTAAACCTTCAAATAACTAAATAAATTTGCTTAGTTCAAACTTTTTCCAAACTCTAGATCTACATGTTCAGTTATATACAAAATAGATATTTCCACTTGGAGATTCTGCAACCACCTTAAAATTGTAAGCAAAACTGAGCGCATCCTTCCCCATCTAATCTTGCCAACCTAATTTTCCAGTATGCCCTTCTCAGTCAATTACCCAAATGAAAATTACTCTAGATTCTCCTGTCATGATCCTTCTCTAGTCAGTTATCAACTCTATCAATTCTTCAGTTTTATCTCCTCAGAGTTCATCTGTCTCATCTTCACCCACACATCATAGGTTTAGTTCAGTTTTCAGCATCTTTCACAAAGACTGCTACTGTAAGCCCTTAATTATCGTCTAAGTTCTAGATTCCTCACTTGTAAACTCTACCTCATGGGGTTGTCATGATAATTAAATAAAATAATGCATCACTAAACACAAGGTATGACACATGGCAAACATTCAAGTGTTAAATATTATTAATAATTCTGTTCTTAGAGAAATAGCTAGATTGTAAAACTTATTTGAGGGGCTGTGTCTTTAATACAAACATGAAAAACCGTTTTCCTAGTAATGGTAACCTTTAAACCAACCAATAAATATAGCCTCTCTACTTCCAAGTCCCCTTGAAACCACCAAGTTTGGCTCCCCAAAGAAGCATACTATTGCTTATATGGAAATTGCGCCTGTATTATGAGATTAACAGTTACTAGGACATCTACACTACACCTGAAAATTTCATCCTGTTTTTAAAAAATTACAGTCCCTGTCAGGCAAACGTTGAGACCAGGGATAACGAGAAGAGTCTCAAGCCCAAAGAGAAAAGCAGTGTTGAGAGTTGGACCATCATGATGGATCAGAGGGGAATATTTACACTGCCTTACCACTCCACCCTATAAAGACTACAGAGCCCTACACCACTCTGTTAATTTTAAAAGCACACATCTAAGGGTGATAAAATATATACCTATCTGTTAATCATAGTTTAAAAGCCCTAATTTTTAGCTGGTTTTAATTTCAGCTCATAAAATTAATCTATGTTAAATCGCAGTGGTGCTTCATTCTTGGGCCATGGCTCTTTATTTCTTTGAAAGAGCAGAAAATTCTGATGTTAGGATCTTGTCTTTTGGAGATGTTACTGACATACTTATCCTATGGCAAACTGGTGCAAACTACCTTTTAAGAAGCCAGTGTTTTAATCTTATTTCAAGGTATCAAAACTAACAAACTTCCTGAAAAAGCACAATAATAATACACCATTATCACATTTATCACTTAGAAAAAGCTATCAAGTATTTTATTATTTTATTCTACATTATATACAGGTCATAAAAGGCCACAGCAGTTTTTCAACATATAAACCCTTTAAAAGTAGAGGGCACTATGAAGGATAGACAAGTATCAAAATGAAGTCCAATAATGAGGGCATATACCCAGTGTAGTATTTCTGAGGAGTAACGAAGCAGATACCAAGTCCTCCATATTTAGCTTGCAACTATTCCACAGGTTTTCATAAATCTCTTTGGGACTGTTAATAGCCGAAGTGTGCCAGTTGCCATTTATTTTAAAAAGTGAAACCAGAATGAAAGAATAAACTAGAGGGTACCATTCTAATTCTAGTCACTTACAGCTCTCCAAGAAGGAAAGCCTCAATTCTTTTCCACCTTCCACTTTTTGCTGCTGTTAAGAAGCGGAAAGAGAGAAATGGAAGAAAAAGTTCAGCTTTGCTTTTTTGTGAGGATTCTTTTAAATTATATACCAGACCCTTTAAGAATTAGCTTTGAGTTCCTAAACAGGTAACATCACACCCTCCGTGAGTAATAATGCAAAAACATCGGTTTCCACTCTGTGAAAATACAATCTTTAAAACTATAACTGGTATCAGCAGATCAATATAAAAAAATACAGTACCAAGCTACACTGGTATATTTCCATAATTAAGAACTTCAAAATATACTTATCACTGAGACCATAGTCCTTGCATTAGTTTCAGTCCACTATGAACAATTATCTGCTGCATGTAAACATGTCTAAATAACTATAGATAAAATACATCAATCATAAATTTCTGTAAAAGATAATAAAATATCTTCTTTAAAAAACAAAACAACAATAAGCAATTACTGCATTTTTTCCAATTTTATGAAAATGGAACAACCTTAGAGTTGTTGCCAGTCCTGAGTTCATTGTAATAAAAATGGCCCTAGTTCCTGGTTAAAGTCAGCAACCAATCCATTCTCTTCAGTAGATGTCTTCTGGACTGCAGGCATGAATTTATTTTAGGTGCTATTCTGTCCATTAATAAAATTATATACCAGAAACTGACCAGTGCCACAGTACTGTGTTGCAAACAGTTTTCCATCAGGAGTAGGATCTGAGAAAGCAATTTCTTCTTTACTCAAGTATGAGCCATATATAAAGTTACTCCTATTAAAAAAGGGGGGGGAGTAGAAGGGTAAAAAAAAAAGTATATTATTTTTAATCATTAAAATTGGAAAAACCTGTCAAATAAAATTTGAATAAAGACTTTTTAGGTAATGCTGTATATTCTAGAAACTTAAAAATAATCGTCTTATAAAAAGCAATCATAGTTTTAAAAACATTTACCCAACACCTTTTCACGATAAAAATACTTCAACAACTCTAAATAGAAGGAACTTCCTCAACCTGATAAAGAGCATCAAAAGGCATCAAAGTTAATGGAAAAAAAAAAGAATGAAAACTGTTCCTCAGAGATCAGGAACAGGGTAATGAGGCTACGTCTGCTCACACCTCTTCTATTAAAACAGGAAAATTAGACAAGCAAAAGAAGAAGCAACCACGTTGGAAAGGAAGAAGTAAAATTATCCCTTTTTACAGATGACATGATCTTTTATATACAAAAATCCTCTGGAATTCACAAAATAACTATTAGATCTAATAAAGAATGAGTTCAGCAAGTTTGTAGGACATAAGATCGATATTAAACAATTAATTGTATTTCTATACACTTGCAATGAACAATTCAAAATGAAATTTAGAAAACAAGTCCATTTGCAATAACACTGAAAGAGTAAATACTTAGGATTAAATTTAGAGACATGCAAGACCTAAAAAATGATAACTATAGAGCGTTGTGGAAAGAAATTAAAGGCTACTTAAGTAAACAGAAAGACATCCCATGTTTATGAATCAGAAGACTTAATATTGCTAAAATGGCATTACTCTCCAAATTGATCTATACTGGGCTTCTCTGCAAAAATTAACAAGCTGGTCCTAAAATTCATATGAAAATGCAAGAGACACTGAATAGTGAAAAGAATCTTTAAAAAGAACAAATTTATAGAACTTACATTTCCTTATTTCAAAACTTACAACAAATCTACAGTATTCCAGACAGTGGGCTGCCAGCACAAGAGACCAATGGAATAGAACTGAGGTCCAGACACAAACCCTCACATTTATGATCAATCATTTTTGACAAAGGTGGCAAGACCATTCAATGGGAAAGAAAAGTCTCTTTAATAAATGGTGCTGGAACAATTCGATATCCACATTGAAAAGAATGAAGTTGGATCCTACCTCACATCATACACAAAAATTTACTTAAAATGGATCAAAGACCTAAATATAAGAACTAAAATTATAAACTCTTGAAAGAAAATACAGGCCTAAATCTTTGTGGCCTTGGATGAGGATATTGTTTCTTAGATATGTGACAAGGAAAAAAGATATATAATTTGGAGTTCAAAATTAAAAACTTCTGTGCTTCAAAGAATACTAAGATGAAAGGACAATCATAAAATGGTAGAAAATATTTGCATATCATATATCTGATAAGGGACTCATCTCCAGAATATATAAAGAACTATTACAACTCAAGAAGAGAAAGACAAATGAACCAATTTAAAAATGGACATAGGATTGATTGAATAGGCATTTCTCTGAAGATATATATAAATGGCCAACAAACATCATTACCTATTAGGGAAATGTAAATCAAAAACCACAATGAAATACCACTTCATACCCACTAGGATGGCTAAAAAGACAGATAATAACAAGTGCTGGTGAGAATGAGGAGAAATTAGAACCCTTGTAACATTGCTCGTGGAGTTGTAAAACAGTGCAGCCACTTTGCAAAATAGTTCAGCAGATCCTCAAAATGTTATATGGTTACCATATGGCCCAATTCTCCTACGTATGTACCAAAAGAAATATACATACGCGAGTATTTCTCTATTTACCAAGAGAAATAAAAATACACAGCCTTCCCTGGTGGCACAATGGTTAAGGGTCCGCCTGCCAATGCAGGGGATGTGGGTTCGATCCCTGGTCAGGGAACTAAGATCCCACACGCTGTGGGGCAACAAAGCCCGCACGCCACAACTACTGAGCTCGCGCTCCTCAATGAGAGAGCCTGCATGCCACGCACTCTGGAGCGTGTGCCACGATGAGAGAAGAGAAAACCCACACGCCACAACTAGAGAGAAGCCCATGCCACAGCGAAGAGCCTGCATGCCACAACATGCGCCACAAAGAAAAATCCCACATGCTGCAATGAAGATCCCACATGCCACAACAAAGACCCGATGCAGCTAAATAAATAAATAAACATTAAAAAAAATTACAGTTCAGAATAGGCAAATCTATTGAGACAAAAGTAGATTATTGGTTGCCAGAAGCTGCAGGAGAAGGAAATGGGGAAATTGGGTATCAGGTTTTGGGGAGACTGAAGTTAATGTCTTAGAATTAGACAGTGGTGATGGTTACACAGCCTTCTAAATATACTAAAACCCAGTGAAGTGTCACTTTAAAAAGATGACCAAAAAGGCCACCTACTGAATGGGAGAGGATATTTGCAAATGATATATCCAGTAAGGAGTTAATACCCAAAATATACAGAGAACTCATACAACTCAACATCAAAAAAAAAAAAATCTGATTAAAACATGGGCAGAGAATCTGCAAAGGCATTTTCCCAAGGAAGACAAAAAGAGGGCCAACAGGCACATGGAAAGATGTCCAACATCACTAATCATCAGGGAAATGCAAATCAAAACCACAATGAGGTATTATCACCTCACAACACCTGTCAAAATGGCTATTATCAAAATGACAACAAATATCAAGTCTTGGTGAGGATGTGGAGAAAAGGGAACCCTCATGGACAGTTGGTAGAAATGTAAACCGGTGCAGCCACTATGGAAAACAGTATGGAGAGTCCTCAAAAAAGTTAAAAATAGAACTGCCATATATGACCCATATATGACCATATAAATTCCACCCCTGAGTACTTACCCAAAGGAAAAAAATACACATTAGAAAAAATATATGCACCTCTGTGTTCACTGTAGCATTATTTACAACAGACAAGATATGAAAGCAACCTAAATGTCCATCAATAGATAAGTGGATAAAGAAGATGCTGTGTGTATACACACAACCAGAGACATACACACAGACACAAACACACACACAACGGAATATTACTCAGCCACAAAAAAGAATGAAATCTTGCCATTTACAACAACACGGATGGACCTAGAGGGTGAAATAAGTTAAAGAAAGAAAAATGCTGTATGATTTCACTTATACATGGAATCTAAGATGCAAAACAAATAAACATAACAAAACAGAAACATAATTATAGATACACAGAACAAATAGGTGGTTGCCAGAGGGAAGGGGAGGGGGGGGGGGGGGGGGGCGGAGGGAGAAATAGGTGCAGGAGATTAAGAGGCACAAACTTCCAGTTGTAAAATAAATAAGTCAATGGTATGAAACGCACAGTATGGAGAATATAGTCAATAACTACGTAATATCTTTGTATGGTGACATATCTGTATCTAGACTTATTGTGGTGACCATTTTGAAATGTATAAAAATACGGAAACAATGTTGTATAACAGGAACTAACATAGTGTTGTAGGTCAATTATACTTCAAATAAACAAACTCAAAAAGAGATCAGATTTATGGTTACGAGAGGTGGGGATTTGGGGAGAGGGGGTATTCAATGAAGGCAGTCAAAAGGTATAAACTTCCCGTTATAAGATAAATAAGTACTAGGGATGTAATGTATAATATGATAAACATAATTAGCACTGCTGTGTGTTATATATGAAAGTTGTTAAGAGAGTAAATCCTAAGAGTTCTCATCACAAGGAAAAAAATTTTTCTATTTCTTTAATTTTGTATCTATATGAGATGATGGATGTTCACTGCACTTATTGTGATAATCATGTCATGATGTATGTAAGTCAAATCATTTGTTGTATACCTTAAACTTATACAGTGTCGTATGTCAATCATAATTCAATAAAACTGGAAGAAAAAATGGTTAATTAAAAACAAGATAAATTTTGTGCTATGTAATTATATCTCAATAAAGCTGTTATTTTTAAATGTTTTAAATTTTGCTAGGATATAGACTATTAGTAGAATTTTCATATTGTAATCGTAACAAGGTGAGATGGGTACATAAAGAAACAATAAATGAAAAAAGTTAGAAACCTCTATGGTTTTAACAGGAAGCTTAGAGTGGCAATCTCAGTATCACACAGAACAAACACAATGACTACAATGTTTTATGTTTTTATAAACTAGAACCATCTTATGGTTTTGACAAGACCTAAGTTTTACAAGATTTAAAGGAGGGACAATACCCTCATTTAGGACAATTATTTAATCAGCTGCATTTTCCAGGTTTAGTTCTGAAAGAGCTAAAAATAGACCTGCCTCTTGTCAAGAGAAGGGTAGGTAGATCTAAGCCCTTCTGGATCACTACTCATTGATAAAACAAAAATAAGGGAGAGAGACCTGAAACACAGTTAGGCTCTAAGAGACTTAAGAGTCTTAGGAACTCACTTATAACAATAATGGATTATTTTGAAAGCTATACCTATAAGTAGTAGTAGACAGGTATTCTATGAATAAACAGACACAAGAGACCAACCTAAAAAACCTCATTTGCATGATTAATTTAAACCTCTTTTATTAATCCTTTAGCAAAGATGCTTTAAAGAGCAAAAAACATGTAATTTTCTGAATCTTTTCCTCTATACCTTTGATTAAAAATCAAGCAATAAAAGCAAGAAGAAAAACTATTAAGAGATTTAGATTATTTACAAATACTATTCTTAAATTATGACAAATTTTCCCAAAAGCTAAACTCCCAAGAAATTTCCCATACTTCTTTGGTTATCTTTAAGATTCTCTAATATTGAACGCAATTTGAAATAAGTGGGTTATTTTGGCCTGATATCATAGATGCAAATTAAAAAAAGTTAAAATGGTTTAATAATACTTAACCCATAGTGCTTTCTTCCCCCTCAGGTTAACTTCACATAAAAAGCACTCACAGATCCAACATACTGACAATCTTATGCAGATTTTAAATTAATATAAATAAAGGTTACACATTTAAGATTAACTAAAGGCCATTCTTTTTTTTTTTTTTTGCGGTATGCGGGCCTCTCACTACTGTGGCCTCTCCCATTGCGGAGCACAGGCTCCGGACGCGCAGGCCCAGCGGCCATGGCTCACGGGCTCAACCGCTCCGCGGCCTGTGGGATCTTCCCGGACCGGGGCACGAACCCATGTCCCCTGCATTGGCTGGCGGACTCCCAACCACTGCGCCACCAGGGAAGCCCCTAAATGCCATTCTTTATATAAAACTGCTTAAATCCTGAACTACTGAAAATGACTTGAAGAATTACATTTAAGTTACCTTAGGCATTCAATCATGCGAGAAGCAATTTTCTTCCGACGCATCATGCTGAACACCCATATGCGGCTGATCCCACAGATTGCAGGCTCTGGCAATGTTGAGCAGCACCAGGCTTTTTGCCTTTCAAATCTGACTTTTTCTTCTTCTGACCTGATAACTGGAAGTTTTTCTTCTATAACTCTGTAGCCCTATATGTAGCAAAATAGGGGGAAATTTTAAACTTTATTTATTTATATTGGAGCAGAGTTGATTTACAATGTTGTGCCAGTCTCTGCTGCACGGCAAAGTGACCCCATTATACACAAAGACATTGTTGGAGGGGCGGGAATTTTAAAGTGGGAATATTGTTAAGCAACTGTCTAGTACTGACCTTAGTGAGGAGGTCACTACTTTTGTCTGGCTGCTTTTTTTTTTTTTTTTTTTGCAGTACACGGGCCTCTCACTGCCGTGGCCTCTCCCGTTGTGGACCACAGGCTCCGGACTCGCAGGCTCAGCGGCCATGGCTCACGGGCCCAGCCACTCCGCGGCATGTGGGATCTTCCCGGACCAGGGCATGAACCCGTGTCCCCTGCATCAGCAGGCGGACTCTCAACCACTGCGCCACCAGGGAAGCCCCTGTCTGGCTTCTTAACAAACTATGGGAACCACTTACGCTTTCACCCTCATTTTAGGAAATAAACAGACCTGGATCTACATTCTGTTCTAACTCGCTAGTTACGTGACCATGAGATAAAGTTACTTAATTATGCTCTGGGTTCCTTACCAATAAATTGGAACTCTCCACCACCTCCTTCAGAGAACTGCTGAGATTAAATAAGGAAATATATACAAAGCAGCCTGCCATCACAGCTGGCACATAATAGGAACTGAATGCTAATTTTCTCTACCTCCCATATCCTAGGACCAGCAAAAGGACATGTTAAGAACTTGGCAGTCACAACTGTTTCCGGGCCTGCTGCCATAGTTCTAGGGTTCACAGCTGTGCAGGAACTAGGATGAGGGATGGCAGAGGAATCAAGAGTTAAAAAGGTCCTTTCCCTATACTCTTACCTCTTAAAAAAAAAAAAAAAACTCTAAGAAAACATAACATCTCTTCTGCCAGTCTAGTGGCCAAAAAGGGACATGGCTAGCCTTCTGATGGGACGTGGTACACAAGTTAAAACAATCAGACAACACAACTGAGAGTTAACAAAGAACAAACAAGCAAATATTACACAACTATGTTCTAATCTAAACACTGCTACAAGTCATTTTTGGAACTAGGTAGAATAAAAATTTAAAAAACACAAGGGTGGGGAGTTCCCTGATAGTCTAGTGGTTAGGACTCAGCGCTTTCACTGCCATGGCCGATTCAATCCCTGGTCAGGGACCTGAGCTCCCATAAGCCACGCAGCACAGCCAAAAAAAAAAAAAACCCAGAAAACTACAAGGGTTTACTGAAGAACATTCATTGTGAACAACAACAACCAAATACAAAACACTGTAAGAAACAGTCAAAAACAAGACAGATGTCTGCAATTTCTTTTAATGCTTAGTCATTTGCCAAACAGATGTAAGAATGCTCTATCATAAAATTTGCAAATATCTTTGTCACTCTGTGCAAATCTGACTTCAAATATTTAATTTCCCTCATCTAATTAACTTCATTTGTTTCAATCATCAATTTTGTCTAAAAACTGATACTTCCCTCAAGTCGGTATCTTACTGTTAACCCTCCTCAGGAGTAATAAATCATGCTAGTTGGAGTGAAATTAAGGGGGGTGAGTTGCTAAGGACAATCCTTAAACACACAACAGTTATTCAATACACACTGAAAGCACTTTGGCATTCAGGAAAATCAAGCATGACATTGTTGATATCTCTTAAAAGTGGGACAATCAAGACCTATCAAGTGGATAAATGATAAAGCAAAGAATAAATCCACTGCAATGAAAAAATAAACCCACACAATTTGTACTATGCAAAAATTAACTCAATTACAGTATGGCAAGCTTCTATGAGTTAGTCATTTTATATCTAATTTGTATCTCCAAACTACTTTGTCAGCTATTTATTTAAATCAAATCTGTAATTACAAACAGCAAGATTCATAAACTACACAATTTCAGGCTGAATTTTTTTAATGTAGCTTAACATATGGAAATTAACTCACGCAGATTTGTTTTGACTTTGTACTTTATTAGAAAATTTTATGATGAAGCATCCACTTGCAGGCAACTAAAAGATACTATTGTTTGTTTTTTTTGCACAATTTGGCTCTTAAATCAAGCCAAGTCCTCATCTAGAGCTCAACCAAAGAAGTGGTGATCCACTGCAGGAGTGCGCAACTTTTCATAAAGGGCCAGGCAATAAGTATTTTAGGCTTTGCAGCATACCTGGCCTCTGTTGCAACTATTCAACTCAGTCTTTGTAGTGTGAAAGCAGCCACAGACAATATGTAAGCAAATGGGCATGGCTGTGCTACAATAAAACTTTATAAAAAACAGGTTGGATTTTGCCTTCAGGCTGTAATTTGCCAACCCTTGATTTATTCCAGCACTGAAGGGACTGAGACAGACATTACGTTAGCAGCCAACAAGGAAACTTCCCGAACAAAATTTAATAGTACTTTTGAGTTACAGAATTTTTCTCTTATACTTTATACTGACTTGAGAAACTAATTCCCATGCAAGATACAACTCCACTGTAGTAAAGAATTACACACAGGAATTCTTGCATTCATACTCTTCCTTACATAAAACGCTGAAAAATTTACCAGGATTATGTTATTCCTGTAACTCTTTAAACACCATACTACATACGACCACTCTTTAAAAATCACTTACCCATTGGATATGTTCTGCAATTAGGCAACCAACTACTTTTTTGTCATTAGAAATAAAGAGAAGTGTTTTTGTTCTGGAATAGCACATTAGTGGAGCCTGCTGGAAACCTAAGTCATTATCAACCATCTCTCTAATCTCGTCAACCTGCCAAATAAAGAACAATATTTTTTTTAATAACAAAAGCATTTTATATATGTAAAAATATACTATTTCAGTTCAATAAATTGAGTATATTATTCCAAGCAGGATATCCTCTGAAGAGTGCTTCTGAATGACTGTCCTGACCAATAAATGTTTTTCAAGCCCTGTGGACCAATTTGCAAAAGGAGGAAAGAATGGAGAGTAATGTCAAGCCCAGCAGTCTGGGAACAACAGGAGTGAGAGCTCCTACAATAGGTAATAAGAACAAAGACTTCCCATTAGAAGGATCATGGGTTTGAGTACTGGAGAGAACTTCACTGGAATCTTCGCCAGGCAAGCCACACTTTTCTTCTTCGCAAGGCTTAATGAATACTCTCATCAGTAAAATGCAGGTGAACACAGAGGACAGACATAAATGTTTACTCCTTATCAACCATTTATAGGCCAGACATTATGCAAAGCACTTTATCAATATTATCTCATTTAAATCCAACACCTCTTAGAGGCTTACAGTTTCTTTTGCATATAGAAGAAATAAAATTCAAAAGTAACTTTCCCATGTCAGACATGGGACACCTAGAACCAAAGAGCTGGGATTTCTGGGATTTGAACCTATAATGTTAATATGGCATCGGACTGCTTCTTTCTGTTACCTCCTAGAATTGTGGTCAAGGTCAAATACGGTAAGCTCAAACTTTTATAGGTTCTCAAAGTCAAGATTTTTGTAGGCACCCAAACATTAGTTCCTTCCCCAGTTAAAAAATAATCTGCAAATATTCAGTCCAATAAACATTCATTTGTGACACTAAGTTTAAAATGCAAATAACACCTAAGAGGGTTAAGTACTCACACCTCTGACATGCAGAATACCATGTAATACATCCCTTATTCAGTGATGAAAACTCAAGTCCTCCTAATCCTAGAACAATACCCCACAATACAATACCTGACTCAGTTACTAAAGGCAAATGACTCACAATTCCTTAGATTTTAATTTTTAACCTATTATGGGTTACCAACCAGTAACATACTGAATTGTAGGTTACTAAGAGTCTGTCCTGAGAAATGAAAAAAATGAGGAAATTAGAATTTCCTGTGGAGTCTTGGTAAGAAATGTACGGACGCCACATGCAGTAAAGCAAAGTACCCACTGTGCATTTCCAAATGATAACAGTTGGAATTCCAAAAATTCCATAATTTAATTTTCATTTAGTCAGTTACTAATCCAACATTAATTCAACAAGTATTTGTTTCTGTGCAAGGATCAATGTTTCAAATACAAGACAGGTTTATGTGCCATTCTAAATACTACTGTCTATACTGTTCAGCAGTGGTAACATGGGAGCTTATTTGAGTAACGGGGATTGTTCAGTTATATATTCAGGGTACCCGAAAAGTCAGGAACCACAGGATAAACTTATACAAATGATCCTTGAACAACACAGGTTTGAACAGGACGGGTCCACTTTTACATGGATATTTTTCAATAGTAAATACTTCAGTACTACATGGTCCGTGGTTGGTTGAATCCGAAGATACAGAGGAACCTAGCACACCGAATTATATGTAGATTAACACTGCCTCCCCCAACCGTTGTTCAAGGATCTGTAAGTGGAATGTTAGCTATATTTTCAAATAACAGGTTCAAAGTGTTTTTCTTCAACCTCCCTTTCAGGTGAAGTATTCCTAAATTTAAAGAGGTCCAACTATTAACCTGAGAAAAGTAAATAAACTGCTTTCCTTGTGTTTCTAGATATGTTGAAAACACTCTAGTTTAATTAAGTTTTTCAGATAAACAATCAGACCCATTGCTTTACATTATGAGGTACTTCTGAAAAAGCATCTGGAGGAAAAACATTTTAAGTATATTATTTGAAAATGTAATTAATATATTCATTAAAAATAAGTTTGTCCTATGGTCTCCTGACATTTAGGGTACTCTATATAATAAAATGGTTCCAGACTTCATTATCTCTCTGGTTCATTTCTCTGAACCCTAAATTGGACTAAAATCTGGCTCACAGAGGATTTTAAGTTTTCTCCATTACATTTGTAAGTCAAAATATATCTTATTTTCTACCTTAACATTATGATTACTTCATGTTTAACTTAAGGATAACTATGACCTACTACTAGATCCCCTTCTGCAATAAGCTTTTATTTAGAAATTTACTCAGAATAAAATGACATTTATTAATTTTAATTTTACAAATTATGATTCAGATTTTTATTTTAATTTTGATTCTTGAAATAATTTATGTGGCATTATTCATTACTATGCCTTCATACCATCACTCAAATTACTGGTAATATGAGACAGTAATCAATCAATCCACTAAAAATTCATTTCACTTATGCTAGATACACTACAAAGTTAAAGCATAATTTTTCAGTTGGGTTGTGACTAAATGCTTATTTCTTGTTTTCAGAATTGGTTTTTAAATGTGTTCTGCCAGCAATATGTTATACTCTTAAAATTAGCTGCAAAATTATACTATTCATTCTGTGTGAAATTTCACTGGAAATTTACCTTTTTCAGGGCATACTTTGGGTCTTCAGGAAGAACCATTATTATCCTGCCATCAGGATATTCAGCTAGAATTCTTTCTTTTTTCCAACCCTAGACATATATATATAAAAAGAAGAATTAATTTCATTTATCACATTTCATACATCATATTCACGTACAATAAGAAAAATATATCAATGTGTCTAAAAATTACAGACATGGAAAAGTATATGCTCGTTAATATTTAATAAGGCATGATAAATCAGGTAATTTGTATAATAGGTATAATACAAGCTAATTTCTCTCTACTATTCATTCAGAGATCTAATACCACAATAGCATTTCTAATTTATCATTTCCCATTTTAAATTAATTTAAAAAATCACACACCAAAAGCAAGCCCCTTAAGGTCAGTGATTCCCAGAACCTAAAGGATAACTCACCCAGTTTCTTGATAAGAGAATTAAAGTCTTAAATTTCTTTGGAACATCGTTACCTCCACAAACAAACACTCATGGTTTTATGTCTGGCATGCCAAAGACCTCCAGGAGGTTTTAAATGAACTGATTTGCATGCAGTAGCCCAATATGTAAGGAATAGTTTTTATTCTTATTGATCACAACTATCAAAGTCACAAGAAGGATACTATAAAAATATAACTACCTTCTAAGAATCTAATAGGGAAGGAGAGGCTACGTTGTGTGTATCTGAAGTTAAACATACTCAAAAAAAGAGAGGTAATAAACTCTTCTTCAGATCCACACTCGTGGTGATTAATGAGCAGAACCTGCATGAAAAAAAAAACAAAACAAAAGCCACTTAAATCTAGTAAGATGGGACTGAACCAGAGGTTAAAACTAGGAGCTTTGAAGTTAAAAATAAGTACAGAAGGAATGAGCTTAACTAGTTGTTCCATTTGTCTTACCCAACCAACTTTAAATAAAAATGCCTTTCAAGAAGCAATATGTACTTCTATTAAAGAAAACCAGCATCTTCTTTCTGAGATTTGTTTGAGAATATTAAAGCTCAATGAAACCAAGAAAAAGGCAACTATATTTTTTAAAATACTATGGCAAGTCTGAAAGGAGGTTGATTTTCTTAAATAATCCAGAATGGTCTTTTTGGGAGAGGGCAGGATCTTAGCTGGGGACAAAAAGTCTAGAAATAAACTTGGTATAAATCACAATTTGGATTAAAGTATTTAAAATCAGAATTTGTTTAAAAAATAGAGCACCCAAAGGTAAAGTAAAATTCAGACTATAATTATGATGGTAATGCATTCCCAAGATTTGAAAAGAAAAAAGGAGCAGAAACAATAGTCACAGAAGTCATTTTTTTCAAACTAGAAACGAAAATCTGAATCATATCCAGATTTGAATATAGGTAAAATGCTTTTACAAGGAATAAAAGATATCACCCTCTTTAAAAACAAATTTACATTACTATGTTATTTTTGGGAAAAGTTTTCAAAATAAATCTATTTCACATAAAATGAAAATGGAGACTTTTCATTTTAAAAACTAAATGACAAATTCAATGAAAAGCTAGAATTTAAGTAACCCCAACTTATAACAAAGTCATACGTCCTGAACTGAATTACCTAAAGATAATTTGATAAGCTATTTTCCTACTGTCTTTAAAAATAACAATACTGGTCTAACATCATTATATTGCACCGTAGGCACTAGATAAAGTATTTTGCTTTACTGACTTTTTAGTACAAAAACTTTCTCTTGATACAAGTTGAGGCTTGCATGTTCACGCAGGAAATGTTATCACAGTTGGATTTGATACAATTTTTAAAAATGTTTTAAGTATGATTGTTTTTTCATGTACATGTATAAGCAGCAGGAATTGCAACGGGCAGAGTTATTACTGCTTAGGTTTCTAATGTTTATGAAGACAGCATATTTAAGTGAAAACTTTTTAAGAGTTCTGGAATAAAAGTTCAGGGTTTAAATCCCATTTCTTGGTAGTTACTAGCTATATGGTCTTGGGCAAATCACTGGAACTCTCATTCTGTTTCCTGACCTAGGCTATGGACAAAATAGCTGTCATCACATACATTACTTAGGAGTTTAGAGCACTGCATTTAAGAGATGATACCTCACAGAGAGCAGCCACTCAGTAACTCCTAGTAACTTCCACTCTACCTTCCTAATGGTATCAAACTAAAATCCATGTACTACTTTAAGAAAACACAATTAAAAAGTCCCCAAAGTTAAATACGACAATAAATTCAAATCTTGGACAAGGCAAAGATGAAAGAACCAAGTTGGCTAATATCTGTCAAATAAGATAATAAAGACATTTATATGCTTCAACTGCAGTTAACTCTTTCCTGGAGTCAATAACCACATGATCCTCCTATCTTTAGAATACTTAGATGAGATGAAATGTGTCTGCTACTTGAAACTGAGACAGAGGTGGAGGTTTTGGGAAAGGTAAATGCAATTCAGAGGAAGAACCAAATAGCCACAGCTTTTTTTTGCAAAGATATAAATTTCAATGCAGTGCATTTACACCTTTCACCTTCAGCTCTAACACGTTACACATATCCCTCTGCTAGCAAGTGGTATTTTCCAAACCCCAAATATTCTTAATTCACCCATCTGGCTACTGAAAAGCAGAACGCTTTACACTGCTGATAGCAATCAATTATTTTTTTTTTTGCCCCAACCCCACTGTAGTTACTCTAGACTTCAGAGCCTAAAGAATGGAAGGGGTTTTTCCTCTTTTTCCATTTGAAAAAGATTACAATTAAAAACAAAATACATTGGGTGGTGAATATATTGATGTATACAATTGTTGAAATTCATCAACCAAACATTTAAATCTGTGCGTTCAAGTTATATATGTTCATACTAATCACTTTCATAAAAGGTTGAATGGAAATACCCATGAAAGAATACCCTGAAAAATAAAACCAGTAACCAGCTTTTCAAAAAAATTATCAACAAATATGGCAAGGAAAAAAAAAAAAGACCTAGAGGGAGAACCTTTAGATTAAGAGATTTAAGAGACATACCAACCAATGCAACATATGGACCTTAATTCAAACAGTATAGAAAATTACGAGATATTTGGGGAGACTCTGAACCCTGAGGGAATATCTGATATTAAGGAATTAAATTTTAAAGGTGTGGTTATACTCTTTAAATCCTGTTTACGGTAAAAAAAAAAAAAAAAAAAAGAGCAATCTTTTCATCTTTTGAAAATACATATTTAAAAATATCCACTAAAATGATAATGTGACACCTGGGTTTCACTTTAAAGTAATTAGGAGGGGTGGATGCAAGAAGATTTCCCATGAATTGTGACTTGTTAAAGCTAAGTGATGAGTACCTGGGGACTCGCTGTTTGGTGGTGGGGATGTGGGGCGAGATGGGGTAGACTATTTTGGAAAGTTCAAATCACCCATTGTCAAAACTGTGCCCAAGGCCCAAGGCTTGCTCAAATACCATTTACTCAAACGTGAAAAATGAATGTCAAATGAATCCAGTCAGCAGAGTGGTTAGACCTGAGGCTGGGAAAAGCACTGACTGCAGTGGGGGCACAGAGCGGCTTCTGAGATGCTAGTGGTGTTTCTTGTCATGTGGGTGTTCACTTTGCAAAACTGCACCATTAAGCTGAGCACTCATTATTTGGGTACCTTTCTTTACATGTTGTATTTCAATTAAAATTTTACTTAAAATTACTAAAGGAATTTGAAAAACAGACATTTTTAGTTCGACAGCAAGTCTAACACTTTTTATATGTTGAAATAGATATATTCTAAATACCATCTCTTTTTAAAAAAAATTTTAAGTCTTCAGAAACAAAAGTAAATTAAAATTAGCTCATTCAAAATTCGGTCACATGCTCTTTTGGACAGTACCCAAGGCAGAAAGCATAAAAAACTGCAGAAAAACTGCATAAGAGAAACAAATTATAGACTCTTGAAATATAGAAAAATATTTTGTTGAAATGAATTTTAAAAGTAAATATGTACTTATGAATATTTTAAAAGTCAGCAAGGACATACACCAAAATATAAACAGAGGTTATCTGAGTGATTTAATTTTTTTCCTTTTAGTTTATCTGTATTTCCTGTTTTTTCTACTTTAATAAAATGTTATAATAAAAGTATTAATATACTTTAACTACCCGCAAGCAGCTGGTTTTAATTCATGTTTGGATACTTTGCAAAAATAATCTTGTATTAACAACAATAATGATAAAGATGTGTTTCCATGCCCTCTCCAGGCACACCCCCTTCCCCGAATCTCCATGTGTTCACCAACCCAAAAGCTCTCTGAACCCTGTCCTTCTGGGTTTTTTGGAGGCTTCACTACAGAGGCAGAATTGATCAAATCATTGGCCACTGGTAACAGAACTCAATCTCCAGCCCCTCTCCCCTCCCCAGGATCAGGGTGTGAGAACTGAAAGTTCCAACCCTCTGTAGTCGGTTCCAACCCTCTGTAGTCGGCTCCACTGGCAAACAGCCCCCGTCCTTGGGTGAGCTCCAAAGGTCATCTCATTAAAGTAACAAAAGACACTTTCTCCCATCACTTAGGAAATTCCAAAGGTTTTGGGAGCTGTGAGTCAGGACAAGCACTGAAGATGGGGTCAATTATTTCTGAGCTAAATTTATTGTACACACAATATATTTTGTTGAAATTCAAATAAAATAATAAGAACCTAGTCTATTACTCATGGACCCTAGAGCCAACTACGTCACTCACTGGCTGTGTGATTTCAGGCAAAATACATATCCTTCTTTCTGCTGTTTCCTCATTTATGAATTAATTGTAACTACTTAGTGATCTGCTAAAAGAACTAAGAGTTGTTTAATATGGGTAAAATGCTTAGAGGAGTCCCTGGTACACAGAAAGACCTTAACTAATGTCATTTCTTTTCCCTCCTAAATGTAAAATAAATTAATTTGTATCAATTTATTTACCCCAAAAAAATTCCTCTGGGAATTAAAAAACATGAAGATATCTTATATGTTGATTTGTGTTCAGTCAACCAGGCATGAATGATATAATCAGTCTATTAAAGCAAAATTAAGCACAATGCTATGTGAAGTTAACCTTCAAATCCGTTAGCTGTATTTATTACTACTAGAG